CAAAAAAGGCCTTATTTTTGCAAACAGTTTTGTAGACTCAGTAACAAAAGTATTTTTTCAAAATTGGGAACTTAAATGAAAATAATTTTAATAAGAAATGTTACCTTATTAAACAATTTCCTAAACAAAAAAAATAGCACATACCTACATAAATGAACACAAAAATAAGATACACACAATTAAATAACACCATTTTGATATCATCATATATTATAAAGAAATTTGGTACAATATAATTATCAGTATTACTACAACACTGATGTATTTCGTAACTTTAACCCACTTCACTGTATCCCCTAATTTCAGGGTCGGATTAAGGTGAGGGCTAAGGGGGCACAGCCCCGGGCCTCCAAATCATAGTGGCCTCCAAAACTAGTTTTGTCATTTTGTACTAATTCTGTTTGACTATGCAAGTTATATAATGTAACAAAAAATCGAACTTTTTGTTTATTTACAATTTTTTTACTGTTTATGATCCATTGGGTGTAACTGACAACATATGTGTGAATATTTGATATCAGTGGCGGCCCGTGACATTTCATTTTGGTGAGGCAGAGGCAGGGTTTCGCCCTCATTTAAAGGCGAAGAAATTTTTTTAAACCCAACTTAAAAAAAACTGACACAGTTCACAACCTATACTCAAAACTAAGTAAAAAACTTAGACTGTGGTGGGGAAGGAATCCTCTACTTTGTCAATGAAATATATTTTATTGTAAAAATGACGTTTATTTTAAATAAAGCTCATTTTTGTCTAATTAATATTTCATTGTTAAGCAAGAACCATGTGAAGGTAAACAATATCGGTACCATTTCTCACCGTAATATCCATAATGACTAAATTCACCAAGTTCAATGAACTAAACCCACAGAATAAACCCACAGAATAAACCACTTACAAAAGAATCATAAAATAGACAAACTCATAGAAAAATAATAAACAAAATATTGCGTAAATAACCACAGATTTGTTCTTTAAACAGTTGAGAATTTTATAAACCTAAGGAATCTGTATTTATTTTATTGGTTACTGTGATGGCTACAAGATGGCGATATTGTTAAAATATGTTTATTTCGGTTAAATCGATTTATTATAAGAAAAATAATACCATTTATTGTTGAATTTTGAAAAACGTGTGAAGTATAATTTAAATTATATATAATTATCTAAAATTCCGCAACAGTGTTGCCACAACCTTGGATGTAGGCGTGCCTGCCTCGCATATGCTAATACGAGAGAAGGAGACAACTATTATATCGCATTGTAATAGAACGAGACAACAAGGCTAACGCCAATCGTGAGTCTAAATTAGTTCAGGCATGCTTCTGAGCCAATCATCTAGCTATAAATATTAGTTTAAATTGCGGTCGTTTCAAATTCAAATAATTTAAGTATTCCACGTATAAAATCAATCAATTTTATTGACTATTTCACAATTCATGTAATCCAAATATTAAAAATTTATAGTATATTATGGAAAGTAAAATATTTAAATTATACTTAATTTTTTAATTTTCTATGATGGGGCACTGCCTCACCTGCCTCCCCTGACGGGCCGCCACTGGTTGATATGAGCTATTAGTTTTAGCTTCAGTCAATATTTATTAGTTAATTTTATGCACTGGTATATCTTAACAAATATTTTATTAAACAGCACTTTATTAAAAAATAGGCCTACCTAATGCAAAACAGTAATAATTATATAAAAAAGTTATTTTTATGGCTCCAAAATGTCCCTGTATATCTCCACAGGGTTATTCTTTTGTTGAAATTTTGAATAACGTTTTCGCATAAATGTGGCTGTATTTCACCAAAAACGGGCCTCTTTAAGATGTTCAACTGTTTAAGGCTTATTCGCATACACCTTTTCCTTCATTTAGCAATAAAGAAAAAAGTCCATCGGAGCTAGATCGCACGATCTTGGTAGACAATGTTGATTACAAAATGAAGAAATAACACTGCAGTAACTTCATTGTTTCACGTGCTTAATTTTCTGCTTATTAAACGGCTTTTTTATTTAAAGAATTAAAAAAAAAGTATTAATTAACTTACGTAATTAATTAAAGTGACAAAAATCAACATAAAATGTATGTGCAAAATATCGTATTCCCAAAATTAGACATAAGAGTCAAAGAATCAGCTATTCAGAATTTCCAAAGATTTTCAAAATCGATTCAGTAATTTTTCAATAACGAGCTTTCAAATATTTTCTAAAAAACTAGGTGCGTCGATTTTTATGACGAGCAATTTAGTTTTATGTATACAATTTTGTTTAATAAAAATAAAAACGGTCAAAGATAGCTGATGCTATAATTTTAAAGGCGAGAAAAATAAAATTGTAAAAAAGGTATACCTTATAAGTGATAAATTTTAAAGCACGATATTTTTGGTATTGATTTAATTTTAAAAAAATATTACTTCCATGAAAATAAGGGCCAAAAAATATCAAATAGCCCCGGGCCTCCATGTTGCTTAATCCGGCCCTGCCTAATTTCAGTTTAAAAACCAGCGATGGCATATTTTTTATTCGCACTTTTCACACTCGTTAAATATACACTGCGCGTCAAAATTAACGCATAATAAGTAAAAAAAAATCTAACTCTAAAACGCCTTTCAACTTATATCTCAGTTAACGTGTTCGAGGGTTTTTCAAAAAAATATTTTTAAAGCCCTTTTATTTAATATTAAAAAAACGCTCGAAAAAAAACTTTTATAGCGATTTTTTAAGTAAATAAAAAATATGCTGTTAAAGACCGTATTTTTGTTAGTATACCCTGAAAATTTTTTACAAATCAAACGAACAGTCACGAAGATACAGCGCTTCAAAGTCGGTAAAAATGACCCCTTTTTGATTATTTTGCTGAAAAGTGGTCATTTTTACCGACTTTGAAGCGTTGTATCTTCGTTACTGTTCGTTTGATTTGTACAACATTTTCAGGGTATACTAACAAAAATACGGTCTTTAAGGATATTTTTTCGAAAAACCCTTGGAAACGTAAACTGAGATATAAGTTAAAGTATTTTTATCCAAATTTTTTTTAAAGATTGGTAAAGGCCTTAATTTTGACGGGCAGTGTATTATACCTATCCGTATAAGGAATTCGAATAACAATAATTTCTGGTAATATAATATAAACACGCAGTTGTTATAAATACGAATTAGAATAAAGTTTTTCATCGAAAAAATTTATTACAATGCTTAGAAAATTGCATATTTCCAAAACTTTCGGTATAAAATTTTCCTTTGTTAAAATAATTAAAAACCCTGTTGTTTACAAAAAAAATATGTTAACATTTTACGAAATAAAATTAACAAACTACAATTTTTATAACAGTGTAATAAACACTGAAAAGTTTGAAATATAAACAATGTTTTTAATAAGGGTTATATTAAAACCAAAAAAATTGGCTTCAATACAAAAACTTAAATTTTAAAGTAAAAATAATAATGCATTTTTAAATATTTTTATTTTATTTTATAATTTTTAGAATGTTTAAAATGTTTTCTTTATATTTTTATTAAAAAAATTGTTACCTATAGGTTTTGTTTGGTATTATATTTAAACTGTATTTTTAATGTCATATTTATTAAAGCTAAATATTAATTCAAGTTGCTTTTTTAAAAATTGACTGAACATTTTAAAGTAAAATTTGTATGATGTCTTGGTATATTGAGTAAACAATTTTAAGCACAGAATAAGAATTAAAGTAATTTTAATTCTGGAACTGAATGGAAATTTTCTGACTAAAAAATTCGATGAATTAAAATTTTGTTTGAGATAATTTTAATAAGGAGCTACTTGGAGAAACAGGCTGTCAAATTAAAATTATGTAAACCAAAATTTTAATTCATAGAATTTCTTAGCCAGTTAATTCAAGGTGCGCAACATTTTACTGAAATTACCATTATGTCGCAATTAATTTCTATTATTAATCGTCAACATAAAAATCAATTTACCCGTTAGAAATTAAATTGATAAAGTTTCTTATTTGACACACAAATATTTTGCACGAAATATTTGATTTAATATTTAAATGTTTTTATTATTACTTAAAATTTTATTTGACTAATAAGAATTGAATACAATTTTATTTTTATTATTATTTTTAAAAATTTTAATATTTACTTTTAATACGAATTATTTTGTTGTTTAAAAAGTTGTGGTATAGGTAGTTGTTATTAATTATTATGTTATTTAAATCTAGCAATTCGAATTTTCATTTAAGCACCTTTCTGCCATATTTCTTTTAATCAGATTATTTTTTTAGATAATAAATTCAATGCTATTTGTATGTGACAAAATAATAATTCCTTATTTTTATTTTTTGGAATAAATATTATGTACCTCAAATTTTCTGACTGAAAAATTCGATGAATTAAAATATTGGTTATCACTCGTAAACAGAATTTTAATTCGGCGCTAGTGCTAGACATTATGTGATTTCGCTTGGTGGCAGTAGTACGTAACACAACCGCACTATGCACTAGCGCCAAATTAAAATTCTGTTTACGAGTGATAACCAACATTTTAATTCATCGAATTTTTCATAGAGAAAATTCCTTGTCTAATTTTTATTCCAAAATAAATATTCTACTTTAACTTAATTTTAAATTAATAAATGAAATGGTATTATTTAGATATAAACACCCTTTTTGAATAGAAAAAAATATTCATATAATAAAAACTAAGGCTTAAAAATATAGATCACACCAGAATTATGTAAATATATATTTATTTATATATGTAAACTTATTTGATACACCAAAAAATAAATTGGTAGATTTTAATTTATAATTAAATTTATTTTAGTAATTTTTATGAACGTTTATATTTTCTAGGCAATTTTTAATTTCCCTAATTTTTGTTTTGAGTTAATTTTTTGATGTCAATAAAAAGTAAAACGGCGTGCCATAGGTGTTTTCTTTCTTAAAATTCTTTCGAAAGTAAACGTAGTGGAAATTGGTAAAAAGATCACTTAATCATTGTTGTTCTTGTTTTAGCTAACAGATACCGTCGGGAGGTGACGACAATGCTTCCCGAACTGCCCCAAAGCGACATGTCGCCAGGCGCATTAGTTCCCATCACTGACGCGTGCTACCCGTTCGTCAACACCTCGAACCACCAGTTCTTTAGTCCCGGATATAATCCTGGATACCCGGAAGGAACTTACACCAACAACACGGACTGCGTTGTTGTCATCGAAGGTAAGTTGATTAGAGTAATTTTGATGTTTTTAGTCTAGAAGGGTTTGTTTGTTTCAAATATGGGGCAAAATTTACCAAGTGTACCAGGTGAAAAAAATTTTGTCACCGATTTTGTTTAAACTTTACTTATTTGTTGTTCTTATAACGAAGAATCATAGCATAATTTTTTTTTGCACAAATTAAACAATTTCTACAGATTTCGCAAGGAGGATCGATGATATTAAATAAAAAATTTATTGTTATAAGCGTAACGGCTTGCCTATAAGCGGAATGGCGCCTTTACGGTTATAAAAATACATTTTTTATCATCGACCCTCCTTGCGAAATCTATGTAGACCCAAGCTTAAACAATTTGTGCAAAAAAAATAAAGTTTATATACAAAAGTGCTCTTTTAGTTCCACCCTTACTTCGTAAGAAGTCCCATAAGCCAACTGAATGGCTTGTGCGGGTTAGGGGTAGGAACGGACCGCGGGCTTAAAGTCCCCTCCGAAGGACTAATACACAATAAAAAAAACTATATCGTGCGGCAGTGTAAATATTTAAAATACATCATTGACTACTCAAACATAATTTTACATTTTAAATTATCATTTTGTATTCGTTTACTCGCATCTACTAGGTATAAACGCATACGGCAGTGTAGTAGCTATTCGATGGCTAGACCGTGCGGCATTCAAATATGAAAAACTTCCCTTCTACATGTCGGGCCCACTCTAAATTTTTTTTTTATTCAAAGGTAACATAATAAACTTGGATTTTATGCTATTTTAAAAAAAATTCAAAAATACACATTGTTTCAAAAAATGCAAAATTTTGCAAAATTTCAAAAAAAAATTGCAAATTTTATTTTTTTGCAAAAACAGTATAGCCCATTGAAAAGTACGGAAAAAATCATTTAAGGTGAAATATTTAATAAAGAGATGAACAGAAGTTATGAATTTTTAAATAAAAAGCGATTTCACCAAAAAGTAATAAATCGATAAATTTCAATAATCCATAACTCTTGAATGAACAATCCTAGAGCAAAAAATTTGTATGCTATGATTCTTCGTTATAAGAACAACAAATAAGTAAAGTTTAAACAAAATCGGTGACAAAAATTTTTTCACCTGGTACACTTGGCAAATTTTGCCCCATATATGACATGATAACAGTTTTATAGGGCGCGGTTTTATTTTTTATTCAGGAATTATTTTATGTGTTTGGGTCGTTTTCAAAAACACCCGCCTTCCTCTGTCCGTAAGTTTGAATTCCAATAACTTTGTTAAAAATTATCGGATCTTATTGATTTAAAAACCAAGTGAAAGCCTAACAAACCCCTAGTAAACTCTTTCAGAAAATGTTTGTTTAGTTATTTCAGAATATTTTTTTTTTAATTTTGAAACTTGTGAAACACACATTTTCGCATGTCCCATTAGCGTTTTATAAAACTTACATACATGTTTTTTTTAATATTGAATAACCAGAACTTTGTGTTGCTTTATAGCAATCCATAACATCCTTAGTTAATACAGTAAACAATTTATATATAAAATAATTAATTTTAATCTACTTTTTTTAAATTTGACTCGTGTCCCAGACATTTTTTCCGTTGCGTTACGTCCGTCGCGTTACCGATAGAATATTAAAAAAACATATATATGGCAACTTTTTTGGTACTCACGCGATTAACAAATGATGTTCGGACATTACCCAGCTGAATTTATTTATTCAATCAGGAAGAAGATATCGGTTGAAACAGGTGCGGGTAACGCGAATGTAATAATTGTTTGTCCACTAAGTTACTCAAAAAAATAAAAATAAGGTAAGAAAAAATACTATTTTTCATGTTTATGTTTATTTTAGGGCACTAAAGCTCATTAAGAGTAATTAATGACTGTAATGTTTTATTATTATTTTTTAAATATGGTTTTACGAAACTTTGTCCACTGCGTTACCGAGTCCATTGCGATACCTTATGGTAACGCAATGGAATTTAGGGTAACGCACTAGAATTTTTTGACAACAAAGTAGATATTTACCGTCGCTTTTATTAAAAGTAGTTTATGATAAACCAATTTAAAATTATTTGTGATTACAACTCATGATATAGATTACATACAAGGTAAAATTACACGCAATATACAAGTACTAAAAGGGACCTTCACCAGCTTATAGTCAAAGAAAAAGGGTGTCCACAATTTAGAAATCTAAGTTGTTATTCTGCAAGTGAGCACCACTGCAAGGGATTTTGTTTATGCATTACTCTAAAATCGTACCACCCTATATAGTTTCTTTTTTACGTTATCTGATTAAGTCCTTTGTGTACCCCAGTCCGTTTTGATACCAATGTCTATTTCACTCACTCACTTGGTAATACCTGTTTATAAATTAGAGTTTAACTCACTAATACAGTGACTAAAAGAAAATATTAAAGGTATTGTTTTTTAACAAAGAATCGAAATGGTGTCTTTCAAAAAGTAACTTAACTAACATAAATATTTAAAAAATACATACAATTTTTAATAAAAAATAAAATTGGAGTCTAAAGTTTGTGAACTAAGTACATTTTATTTCAAATTATTTTTATAACAACTTTTTTTATTGAATTAAATTGGTAACACATTGGAGACATATAAAGCTAGCTACACATTTTTCTGAAAAAAACGTAACAAAAAATTAAAAAATGCACTGCCTGTCTTAAATGTAAATAAACAAAACTCTAAACATTTATAAAAATCCAACCAAAAGTCAAAAAAAAAAAATTTTGATCTTCATTTTTCTGAAAGTTTCTTGAAAATGACCCGTTAACACTATTGTGATATTTTTAATTAGATAAAAATATCAAATACACTGAAAAAAATAAGCTGTTGAAACAACAACAACAACAACAATATTAATTCAACTCTTTATGCACTTTAAATACAAGCAATGGTTTTTGCACATTTACTTAACCATCTAAAAATTTCAACTTGTATTGTTTAATTGAACAACAAATAACAGTCAAATGAACAAAATGAGAATATTTATTCTAATCTGCTAATTTGGTGAATGTGTTAAGGTAAATTTCTTGAAATGTCCAGGTAACCTTTTTAGCATATTCACTTAACACCAATAAAATGTTAAGTTAAAATAATTTTGGCTAATATTCCAAAACGGTTGGGTAAATTTTCTGAAAATGTAAAAGGAAAATTCTATATAAAGAGAAAGAATTGAACCCTCACCTCGCCAGAGTTTTTGTTTTGAGTGCGTTCCACCTACTTCAAATACCAACAGACAGCTGTTTCGACCTATATTGGGGGTCTTATCAAATCAAATCAAATCAAATCAAAAACATATATTTAAGAATTAATATCACAGATTGTACATGGAAACAATTTCACAAAGAAGCTACAGATTTACAACACAATTCAACATATATAACAATATTATTGATTCGTTGCAAGGGCTGCATCCAGGCGTCGCGACGTCCCAGACTGCTGACGTTGGTTGTCATCTTTGCTCGTTGGTTCCATTTTCAGTCTTATCCGTGTCGGGCAATTTGGTGTAATGGAAGTTTCACTGTGGAACACACCCAAAACAAACGGCTACTTATACACTCCTATCGTAAGCCAACTGAAGCGAGATCTAAGAACACGTGATCAATCAATTTTATGAATACAAATTTAATATTTTAAATTTTAAAGTAACATTTACAATTTGTTAAATGAACAAATTTAATGTTTTGGATTAAACAGCAACTAAACGTTAATTTAATAGTTTTTTTAGGTAATCCTAAAAATGTCAGTATTTGATTCAATCAATTCCAGCTATTAAATCAAAACAGGATAAACATTTTAATTCAAAAAATTAGTTTATGTTAAATTAATATTTTAACTGTCAAATGAACAAATAAACTTTGACAAACTCTGACTATTGCTTTGACACCAAAATATAGATTAATCCGATAGGTTTTTTGTTGAAACAACATTTTCAAAAATGACATTTAGGCCAATGTTAACTCAACTACATTATATTTTTCGGTGTAAGATTTTTTATTATGCGAATTAATAATATAATAACAGATATTTTAATATTAGATTTAATTTTTATGCCAACCTTATATTTTTAATTTAGTTAATTTAAAATAACTAATTCTTGTTTTTGTACACTTTTTAATAAATATAACAAAAAAAGTAGTTTGTCTTAATAAATGCTTTTGTTACGGCAAAAAGATCATTTTTATAAAAATTGCTTTCAGTAATAGCATTTTCATTAATTATAAAGTAAATTTACGTTATGTTTATAAAAACAATCTTCCAGATGCAGAAACACATTGATAAATGTAGTTATTATTATTTATCCAAAAAAACATTTCTATACCGTTTACAAAAACGTTTTGTAGTATTAATAAAACCCTAATGGTATTATTATTCATAGAAATTTTGTAAATTTTACAAATCCCTTTTCGCTTAAAATAAAACATTTTCTATAATATAAATGTATGTAAATTTAACTACAAATTAATTGGTAATTCAATAAACTATTTTCATTTTAACAGTGGTCACATTTTTAACCTACTGTTGGGTAGTTTTTTTTAATATTTCTTTTAGAAAACGTCGAAATTTTAATTTTCTTAGTTACCTTTTTGATATTTTTATCATTCTAGATTTTACCACACTTCACTCGCACAAGTGAAATAAATAAGATTATAACACAGACTGTGGATTATAAAGTTATGTTCACCAAGGAGAGCGCTGGCCCTTTCCCCCTCTTTTTAAGGGAAATAACAAAAATAACAAATAAAGCATTACTTTATGTAAGCGTAATTCACACACAACTATAGATTTAACAAAAACATTTTAAATTCGACAGAGATTTAATAAAAACATAAAGTATTTATTATTGCCATGACAAGACAATATGATAACAACTATTACTTTATTGGATGAACATTTTTTTTATAAAATCTCAACATTGCTGCTTTATTATAGTAAATGAGAATTTTATTAACAGTAAAAAAAGTTTATTCTGTAAATAAAGACACTGAAAATTTAATAAAAAAGGTACCTTAGGTGGTACATTTTTTATAGCCATTACAATTTTAAATTTAAGTTAAATAATATTATTTTATTAATCGGTTACAAAATTAGTTTCATTATAAGTGCATGTTCATTTTTCTGAATGTATTTGTTTGCTAAACACATATTTTTAATTCGTTAAATTAAAAATAACAGTTTGGTAAAAAATTAAAATTAATTTTTAAAAATTTACCATGATACTTTTAATTCGCAGAATAGAAATTCTTTTTTATCTAAGTAATTAAAAATACCACTTTAGTGTTAACCATGATACTAAATAGGACCTATTTATATATTTTTAAATCCTCTCTGTAAACTTTTTAATTTTTTTAAATTTCATAATTTATTATTTATAAGTTTGTCAGTTTAAAAACGGTTATAAAACTGTAAAAAGTTGCATGGAAATAAAACAAAACTAAGAATAATAATGTCCAAAATTTGATTGACGCTGAAATTATTTGAAAATTTACAAAATTAAAAAAATAATAACGAAATGTTACGAATTCATCAAACATGACGATAATGATTCGATTTTTTTCCAATCTTCGGTAGGTATATATACATACATACTAAAAAATGTTACTAACACATTTAAATTTATTTGAGCAGCTTCAAAATATTTTGGTTGTTACTAAAAAATTTATAAAAAACAATTATTTTTTTTTCGATTTTTCTTTAATTGAGTCTAACTTTTGACGCCCCGGACTAAAAATTCTCCATTGATCTTTATCTATAGATAAATTTATTTATAAATATCAATGGCTCTGAGATTTTTATTTTAAAGAAATATGCCTTTTAATTCAGTACGCCCCTGTTAATTTATCATTTGCATTACGCAGAGAAATGATGCTGTTAAAAGTTGTTCCCACAGACCTACAAACTTGTTTGTAGGTCTGTGGTTGTTCCCCTTTTATAAAAGACAACATTGAAGATAAATATTAAGAGTTTCTGTGAACTCAATTAAAGTTTAATATCCTTTAATAACTTGTATAAATAGCAATATATTACTTTTTAAGTTATTTAAAACATTTTTTCTAATCCCACTTTTAAAACGCCCATTATCGTACATGTTTTCATGGCACCAAGTGACCTTTTAAATACACATTGACAAGTTGTGGCTTTATGGCGTTTTAGTCACGAACTGAAGTTAGCAACAGGTTTTTAGTCACGGACTGAAGTTAGTTGACAATGTCATAAAATCGTTAAAATAAAGTGCCCTTCTAGTAAAATATCTTTAAATGTAAAAATTATTTTATTATCTGAATACATAAATACAAAAGTATTAAATAGTTTCTTAACGCCAATATTTAAAAAGTTTATAAGAACATTGTACCTACTGACCTTTTAATTTCGATGGCAGTAAACTAGATTAAGCTTAAATTCCACCGTACAGTGCCCATAAAATATTTTTTTTTCTTTCACTGTGAAAAACTGCTTCTATATCGGATTAAACGGTTAATTTTTAAGGGTTAAATTTAAAGATGTAAAAAAACGGTTTTTTTTTCAGATGTAAAAGAAAATGAAAAAAAAAAACCTAGAAAAAAACGGTTTTTTTTGTTTTTTTTTCAAAATGAAATTTTGAGTAAAATGTAGAATATATTACATTTTTCATTATTGAAAATTTTGACCAAGACTAAAAAATCTGATTTCCTATTATTTGGTAGTTTCCACATTAAAAACCAATAGCAATGTAAAACTTCTACACTAATAGATACAAAAAATTAAAGGATTAATTTTTTTTTGCGATTTTTCGGATCGCTGTATATTTGTTAAAAATGGTCATATAGGAGCCGTAAAAAAAGGAATTTGAAGCTTGAAGTTTATAGTTTTGAGATTTTTAGATTAAAAACGTGCAACGCTTAATTCTAACGAATACCGTAATAAAAAAAATCGATTATTTTTTTTTCTTTTTTGGTCGACGATGTTCTCCAAGAATTTGCTATTGTTGAAAAAAAATTTCCATACTCTACATAAATTTGAAAAATCATAAAAAAGTGCTTTTGGTAGCTTTTTGAAAAATCAAGCGCTGAATCAAAAATATTATATGTAGTTAATTTTTTTTAGGACCAAATCAAAACAAGCGCGGCCCTTCAAATCGGTGGTTGTGGCGAGTGTATAACGAGAGACTGTATTTACATTTAATAATTGTCATTTAGTGGCTAATTTTAGTCCATGGAAACATAAAAAATTAGGCAAATGGGACTAATCTTGAAAAAAACCTAAAATGTGAAAAAAAAACATTTGAAAAAAAAAACAATGAAAAAAAAACCTGAAAAAAAAACAAATAAAACGGACCGTTTTTCGCATCTCTAGTTAAATTTAGATTTACATATACAAATTTGAGATATTTTCTCCGGCGCTCCGGTATTAAAATAGAGATTTCCATGTTGGTTATTCTATTGTTTTATAGATGTCGCTCTTTACGAATATTTAATTTAACCCTTTAAGTGGCAGAAGAAATTTCCTTTGAAACAGATTTTTTTTTGATTGAAGATAATTTATATGGATCCCAGGATGCTTGAAAAAATATACAAAAAAATCTACCCCCTCCCTTTTTATCAGAATAGGGTGGTTAGCATAGTGATCTTGGTTACTTCAAGAAAACAAGATGTAGTATAATTTCTCAAATCATGTTATTGACCACTTTTATCAAAAAATATATTGTTGGCAGAAACTCATTATTTATTCAAGGGAATTTGACTTAAAAAACTTTAGGCATGATGTTATAGTTATTATTGATAGCAGAAGTACGGTTGGGTGTTCAAATATTTGGCTAACATTTAATCACGAGGGTGGTCAGTATAGTGACTCTGCCACTTAAAGGGTTGAAATGCATATAAGTGTCCGGTAGACTCGAGACGATTTCAGTTGGAGTTCAGGTAGTATCAAAATATTATCTAAGCCGTTGATATTAGGTGAAATAAGAATTTTACATTTTAATAATTATAGTTCTGGGGTGTAAGAAAAATTATAAGTACCTTGTAATGAGGAAAAATAGTACCAGAAAAATTTAACCTATATTTTCTGAAAAACAAATAGTTGCCCTTTATGAGGCCCAAAACACCCAATACTTTAAATATTTTGTCTTCATTTTGCAACTGAGATACAAAGAAACATATTGAAAGTTTTTAATGTTATTTACAAAATAATAAAATAGCATTTACTCATCTAAATATGTTCACAAATATCACTTTGCACATTCAAAGAAAAAAGTAATGTTCGTAAAGTATCGATGGTTAGTTAAGTGACCACTTTTTCAAAATACGTCATGCGTAGCGGACGTTGGTTAACTGAGTGTATTTGCAGGCCTTTAGGCATGATGTTATAGTTATTATTGATAGCAGAAGTACGGTTGGGTGTTCAAATATTTGGCGCCACATTTAATTACGAGGGTGGTCAGTATAGTGACTCTGCCACTTAAAGGGTTAAGTCATTTTTACATAATAATAAGTATTTGTCGTATAAAAAGTATAGTGTGCAACTCGTTTATAATCTTTTCTACTGCTTAAATTAAGTTCGTGTCTAAAATTGCGTTTATCAAACCTGATACATAATATACTATTAAATGTAAACAGTATCTAGTAAACTAGTATTTATTTACAACATTTTAGTTAATCTGATTTAAACAAAAACAAATGTTTAACAACATTTTCATTACCTTATTCAACTGAAATATTGCCTTTAAAATTGCCTGCCTCATAAACAAATAAAAATAATTGGATTAAGAATTCCTATAAAGTGTCTTAACTTAATTTAGAAGGAATTTAAAGAATGTTTTATTACCGATTAAACGCACGGCTTTATTCATTTTTAATTAAGTTTTTGATTACATTCAGTAGTTAAAATAAAAAAACAATATAATTCTTATCTCGCCTGTAATATTAAAATTTACAATTTTTTATTAGTCAATGTAGTTAATTAATAAAAGTAATGTACGTTAAACTAAATAAAGGTCGTTGCCTAAAATAAAAATCCATAAAATTAAAAAATACCAATGAGCGTTAATGGATTTAAAATCTACTTGAAATATTTAAAATAAAACGACCCTAAAGTTAATAAATGTTATGTTTAACGTTACGTAAATCAGCAAAAATGTGCAAAACCCTGATTTGTACAAAACAATTATATACAAAACTATATAAAAAAAGGACATGTCCTGTCTGGGAGAAATTACATTTCACACTGTTTCATTAATTTATCATTCACACTACCGAACTCAAGCTCAAGTTTTGTCACTTCTGTCTAAGTTTTCCCTAATTAAAGTTTGGTTTCGGATGCAGCGAAAGTGTACGTGGTATCCGACTTATAACTACAGTTAGTTTACTTTCAAAGTTAAATTATATCAAGAGAACTCGGGTTCTGTAACTAGTCAGCAATACGGATAAATATCATATCACCTCATACATCCTTAAATATAATTAATGTTTGGCGGGTTCAACCAAAATTAAATTTCCAACTTTAAGGAATGTATTTAAATTTTAATACCAAATAGTTTTAACTTAGTTACCATACTATTCGACGCTGAGAAAGCATCGGGTTTTTCCAACGCGCGCGTCATCTGGTGGCGCTCGATAGCATTGTGGGAATTGTAGAATTATCATCACATCAAATTAAAATAAATAGGTAGTTTTTTTACAAAAGAGAAGAAGGCACAAATTTCGTTCGCAAAGTTTCAATTGCACCGCTAAATCGCGCACGTTATAATTGTTTCGCGTTGCAATTAAAAACTAAAAAACTTTGGTTATGTACTCGATTTCGATTCCTTGTATCATTGATTAAGAAACTCAACGCTTATATGCTTATATAACTCAACGCTTATATGCTTATATAGTTACGTAAGTGTGTTTATTTTGGGTGACGTTCATAATATCGAAATTCACTTTATCGAATTCAAAATATCGAACACTTTTTATCGAAAATCAAAATATCGAAAATACAAAATGTCGAAAATCAAAATATCGAAAATTAAAATGTCGAAAATGATAATATCGAAATTTTATTTAATCGAATTTTCAATTTATCGAAAATAAAATATCGACGTTCATAATATCGAAATTCACTTTATCGAATTCAAAATATCGAACACTTTTTATCGAAAATCAAAATATCGAAAATACAAAATGTCGAAAATTAAAATGTCGAAAATACAAAATGTCGAAATTTTATTTAATCGAATTTTCAATTTATCGAAAATAAAATATCGACTGCTTAAAATATCGATTATAATAATATGGACATATAAAATATCGAAATTACTGAATATTAAAAATTACAAAGTGACTAGAAGTACACCGGGAGTATCGCCATTAAACGTACACCGGTTGGAAAAAAATTCTTATTTAGCATATTTGTCAAATTGTATAATATTAAATGGTCGTTAAATTTCGCGTTCAATGATCTACTTCCCTATTTTTCACAGAAAAAAACAACACAAACCCAAACTCCATAATATGGAGTTTGGGTTTGTATATATATGGTAATCAACAAATTTTATTTTTGCTAACACAAAATATATAGCTGTAGAAGTAGGCTTTTTAAATATTTCAATTAATCGACATATTATTTTAATCCGAAGTGTATATGTACAGAGGCGCCTCTGATATAGAAATGTACTCAAACTCAACAACACAACCCAACCGACCCCGCCCCCATTGCCCCCCCCCCGCCCCATTGAGCAAAAAACCCAACTAAAATGGGCTAATTTATGTAATTAAAAAGTGTTTTATTTTTATCGTAACATGAATTTGCCCATTTTAGTTGGGTTTTTTGCTCAATGGGGCGGGGGGGGGCCAATGGGGCGGGGTCGGTTGGGTTGTGTTGTTGAGTTTGAGTACATTTCTATAAAACGCGCATCTCTAGGAGCCAGGGAGCCAAGATAATTCGGTGCATAACCGTAACTTTATCTACAGAGGCGCCTCTGTACATATACACTTCGATTTTAATCATACATTTTAATTTTCGATATTTTTAAATCGATATTTTAATTTTCGAAATTTTAATTATTCGACATTTTGAAATCGACATTTTAATTTTCGATATTATCATTTTCGACATTTTAATTTTCGAAATTTTAATTATTCGACATTTTCAAATCGACATTTTAATTTTCGATATTATCATTTTCGACATTTTAATTTTCGATATTTTGATTTTCGACATTTTGTATTTTCGATATTTTGATTTTCGATAAAAAGTGTTCGATATTTTGAATTCGATATAATGAATTTCGATATTGTGAACGTCACCCGTTTATTTTTATGGTGAATTATTGTGCTTTTTTAATTGTAAATAAAATTCAATAACTAAATCGTTGCCTTTTCCAGTTTTGCCATAGGAGAATTATATAATGAAAACTTTACCTAATAGTTTATATAGTAAATTTAAAAGTAAACTACGTACACGTCATCAATCAGCTGATCGGACACGGTTGTCAATGTGATGCTAAAATCCTTGCATCAAGGGAAATTGGTAGTGCAACTACAGGGCGATAGATGGCGTTTACATGAATAATACCAAAATGTCAAAAGTCTGAGTTTTTATAACCTATATGATGCACCGCCAAAAGTATGTTTTTAGCCATTTTTAAAGACATTTTCTGATATTAAACCCAAAAATTTTGCTATCTAAAGTCAGTATAATTTTATGTATCCAACATATATTTTGTTAAATATTCTAATATATAACTAATAATAATCATATTTACAAAGGTCCATTATTATCCCGTTCTGCCTCAAAATAGCGTATTAAGGATGACACCAACTCTTGACTCCGACTATTTAAATGCTTCGGCATTTTAAATATAGGAAACACAAAAAAACGATATATAACAAACACAAAAACGGCAATGAAAACTTAAACGATATAAAATAACACAAACAACAAACGAAATAATACACGAATTAAACGAAATATTCAAAAACTCAACTGACAGCTTCGAAATTCTAAAACGTCAAATTCTTTTTTATGTGTCATTTAAATATAAAAAATTTGAATGTAAACATGACAACATCACAATTGTTGCCAACTTAATTTGGTTAAAATGCATTCAAATATTCAATTACAGACTTCGATTTAGTCATTTAGTATTGGTACCAATGCGTAAAATTTTTGTTTTATTGATGACGTGTACGTAGTTTACTTTTAAATTTACTATAGTTTTACATTTTTAAGAAATCTAACCCAAAATAATAGTTGTACAAAGATATCCTTAAAATCAAAAAATATATATTTGTGTCCTCTAAGAAAAACGCCGACAACTGCCTTTAAAATAGTAAACGATCAAATATCGATGGATATTTGACAAAACATCGTAAGCGACAAAACCCAAATTTTTATTTTAGGAGAGATTTTTTTTGTGTGGGAGCTTTATTTTTAAAGTTATTTATCTGAAAACTGGTGAGGCAATATTTTATTAACGTAGAATTCAAATATTTAAGTAAGATCAATCCAATCTAAAATTTTCTTTAAATTTTGTGGCATACAATAGAACATCTTTAGGAAAATATAAAATTAGTCTTGTCGCTTAAGTTCCATTTACGTTACTTTGTGGGATATAGATTTGATGATTACTTTTGTCAAAACATCGTTAGCGAAATTTACTTTTATTATTAAATAAAAAAAAATACAAAAAAAATAATTTATAAAATATCACCAACGATATTTTACCAAACAATGTTTGAATATGAAATTCTACATTAGCTTTATTTAAAAAAAACGAACGATTTTTATTCACAAACCAGTATCCCATGGAGCCTACACAAGGAGCCCGAACTTAATAGGGGAAATTGACAAAACCTGCTCTCTAAATTGTACAAATTAAGTTTCTTTTTTTCAACACCAGCGGCGCTGATTGTCGATGCTAGCGTTTTGGTACAAATTAAACAATTGTTTCGGAATAAACGGAACACCAGCGCCCTCTTATCCTATGAAGATTCTTATTTACACGATGTTCGGACTCCTTGTGTAAGCTCCATGATCTAACCCATGGTACTATGATCTAACCGTTATAAATTTGAGTAAAATTATTTGACGCTATAACAACATACAATTACTACAAAAAAAACATTTTTAACGAACCACACTACCTAAAAACAATTATAATTAGGATAACTATTAATAATGCAATGGAAAAAAAAGGAATTATAAGCTTTTGATCAAATAAAATACTGTTTTAAAACTTGGTGGCAATCACCACGATGCAGGTATACTCACGAATAAACTGTTTAGAGCGGGATTAACGCCTTGATAGATCAAGGAGGGAGCACAATCGTAAGCGACACAATGTTAAATCGCAAACGCCATGTCTCGAAGTTGCTTACGATTATTTGTCCGGAACATATAGGCCCTTACGTTATAAATCGGTAACAAATTAAAAATAAGAGGCGCTTACAATAATAAGAATCTTCAAACTGACCAATATTAGATTCCAAAATTGGGATAACTATTATGTTAACATGTGCAGCTTATCGTAACTGAGACTTTGATAAAATAAAAAGTAATTCAGAAAATTGTCGCTTACGATGTTTTGTCAAATAACCATCGATATATCTACGAATTCATGGCAACATAATATATATAATACATAATATAAAAAATACCGTTGAGTGAAGACTTTCTTAATCAACGCTTTTAATAATGCACAATGCTGTTTGAATTTAGACGACTTATCTATTTTATTATTTTTACTGAATTGAAATATTTATTTATTGTATGTAATAAGGTACAATTTATATTTACAGGGACTCTATGCAATTTATTTTTATATTCCGATTTCCACTGTTTATTGGAAAACCGGTATAAATCCAACCCAGGATTTCCTCTTGAAAAACACACAACAACGTTTTTCGGCCTTATTCTCAAAAACACTCGTTTGTAACATAAGCGTTTGACAGCTGATTATAATTATTAAAGTTTGTAGTTTTGTTACGATGCTAACTGCCACGTGGCTCTTTTAGCAATGCTTCTTTAACTTATATCATAGGAAAAAAAGCTTGACATTTTAATGACATAGTATATTTTTCAACGAGATGGTAAAGTGTGGGATTTTGGGTAAGAAGGAAAGGCGTGGCCAAGTGTAATAATCCTACGAGCGCCAAAAAAACTTTCCAGCGAGTTGAGAACGCTAATTTTATAAAGACCACAATCACATTTCTGGGAAATTTATTGCAAAATACTCAAACTTGAAACAATAAAATAACTAAAACCTAAACATTTCATACTAAGGTTAAATCGAACTTAAATTGTCAGAATTTCTATAACATTTTTATCCATGAACAATATTTTGATGCAAAATGACATCAGTTGTGTTTAATAAAGAGTGTCAACGAAATGACATGCTTCAATGATCTTACCTATTACGAAAAGTCGTAGTTTTAAATGTGGTCCACTAAAAAACGTTGTTTTATTCGGTTTTAATAAAAGGAAGGGGCTCCCATCCCGAGGCGGGACTTAACTTCGATCCCGACTGACGTCACACACTGTAAATCCGTTTTAGTTCCCCGAGCCTTATAAAATTAATGTTAAGCTGGATGGCTCAAATGGTAGGGCGGTCGCTTGGCGGGTTCGATACTACTAGAAGTTGTTAAACTTATTTTTATTTTTTTACTTTATAAATTTTTTGTTCCTTTGTTAAAAAGTGTTGGGTTGGGTTGGTTGTTTTGTTTTAGTTGTATCGTAACATAGCAAATCTTAAAATTATGACGCCACTCGGGACTGAACATCACAGCGACAATATTTTTTATCACCTTGTTTACACGTTGCTAAGGATTTTGACACTTTTCTTGATTTGACATTTGTTGACATTTAAATACTGTGTTTGTTAAATGATTAAAATAATGAGTTATAAACTCTAAAAGATCGATGGGTTGGTGTAAGCGATAATTAAATTAAGGTAAGTTTGAATAAATAAGGTTTATTAAAGTCTTTTTATATTTTAAAGCACATTTTAATTTTAAATGTCAAACTGATAATTCGTTAAATCCTAAAATTCGTTATATTTTCTCACTAAATGTAACTCGTGGTATGATTAATTATCGAAGATATTTACTAATTGAAACCGAAGTAGCACATTTCACTCGTCCTGCGAACTCGTGAAATCTGCAGCTCGGTTTCAATTCGAAAATATCATCGATGATAATCATACCACTTGTTATATTATGGGTAAATATAATGTCACTCAACTAACCTAAAAATATTTATACTTAATTTTTTCAGTTGAAATTCGTCTATTTCGGTCTTGTTTGAACCCAAGAATACATTAGTACGTCCTGGATTATCATTATCATTTATTTATTTATTATGACGCCACTCGGGACTGAACATCACAGCGACAATATTTTTTATCACCTTGTTTACACGTTGCTAAGGATTTTGACACTTTTCTTGATTTGACATTTGTTGACATTTAAATACTATGTTTGTTAAATGATTAAAATAATGAGTTATAAACTCTAAAAGATCGATGGGTTGGTGTAAACGATAATTAAATTAAGGTAAGTTTGAATAAAAAAGGTTTATTAAAGTCTTTTTATATTTTAAAGCACATTTTAATTTCAAATGTCAAACTGATAATTCGTTAAATCCTAAAATTCATTATATTTTCTCACTAAATGTAACTCGTGGTATGATTAATTATCAAAGATATTTACTCATTGAAACCGAAGCAGCACATTTCACTCGTCCTGCGAACTCTGCAGCTCGGTTTCAATTCGAAAATATCATCGATGAGAATCATACCACTTGTTATATTATGGGTGAATATAATGAAAATATAATCATCACTCAACTAACCTAAAAATATTTATACTTAATTTTTTCAGTTGAAATTCGTCTATTTCGGTCTTGTTTGAACCTAAGAATACATTAGTACGTCCTGGATTACCATTTTGTTTTTTAGTATTGTTGAACTTTTTTTGAAACTTCTGGCAAGCACCATTACACGTAATCTGGATTAATTTCTTAACTTCATTTTCTGTAACCTTATACTTTTTCCTTACGTATTCCATAATATCACCAATTATTTTAGGGTCTAACTTCTTCTTGTGCCTTGTTCCATAGATTGTAGAATGTGCCAAATCGTCTTTAGTAAAGAAATAGTTTAACAAGGCTCTTATGGCCATAGAACAAGGTCGATCACTCAATGGTTTTAGAATAAATTCGTCTATTTGGGTCTTGTTCGAGCCTAAGAATATATTGCCCTGTTCTGGATTGTTTGTATCTTTAATATTTGATTTTCCGCTATAGCTGTAGTATTATTTTGTTTCTTAGTTGTTTTACGCTTATTTTTAGTTTTACTATGCTTTTCATTCAATTTAGGTTTTTTGAATTGCCTCGAAGGTATGTTAAGTTCCTTGTCCTCATCAATCATTTTCCTTTTCTTGGATTGTGGTTCTTTGGGTTTGGTGCTTCGAAAGTTTTTCATTCTTATTGCCATTTCCAACCTTAATTTTTCTAGTTTACGTTCAGTAGTATCATTATCAGATATAAAACTCACTTCCATGACATTTTTCGTTTTTTCATTAACGTCCGAATCATCTTTATTAATATTTATAATTTCCAATGGTGCAAATTGTTTTTCGCATTGGTTTTCCCAGTCATCTAGTAGATCTTTTAACTCTGATATATTTTCTTCATTAGTTCGATCTTTAAGACGATAACAAAAATTATTGTCTAAAGATTTCTCCTGGTTTTCTTCATGAATGCCTTGGATAATGCATTGAAGGTCGATCAAAATTCTTTTTTGGTTTGAAGTCATTGCAAATTGTTTTTCGCATTGGTTTTCCCAGTTATCCAGTAGATCTTTTAACTCTGATATATTTTCTTCTTCATTTCTATCTTTAAGACGATAACAAAAATTATTGTCCAAAGATTTCTCCTGGTTTTCTTCATGAATGCCTTGAACTGAACATCACAGCGACAATATTTTTTATCACCTTGTTTACACGTTGCTAAGGATTTTGACACTTTTCTTGATTTGACATTTGTTGACATTTAAATACTGTGTTTGTTAAATGATTAAAATAATGAGTTATAAACACTAAAAGATCGATGGGTTGGTGTAAACGATAATTAAATTAAGGTAAGTTTGAATAAATAAGGTTTGTTAAAGTCTTTTTATATTTTAAAGCACATTTTAATTTCAAATGTCAAACTGATAATTAGTTAAATCCTAAAATTCATTATATTTTCTTCTGCAGCTCGGTTTCAATTCAAAAATATCATCGATGATAATCATACCACTTGTTATATTATGGGTGAATATAATGAAAATATAATCATCACTCAACTAACCTAAAAATATTTATACTTAATTTTTTCAGTTGAAATTCGTCTATTTCGGTCTTGTTTGAACCTAAGAATACATTAGTACGTCCTGGATTATCATTTTGTTTTTTAGTATTGTTCTTTTGAAACTTCTGGCAAGCACCATTACACGTAATCTGGATTAATTTCTTAACTTTATTTTCTGTAACCTTATACTTTTTCATTACGTATTCCATAATATCACCAATTATTTTAGGGTCTAACTTCTTCTTGTGCCTTGTTCCATAGATTGTAGAATGTGCCAAATCGTCTTTAGTAAAGAAATAGTTTAACAAGGCTCTTATGGCCATAGAACAAGGTCGATCACTCAATGGTTTTAGAATAAATTCCTCTATTTGGGTCTTGTTCGAGCCTAAGAATATATTGCCCTGTTCTTTAATATTTGATGTTTCCGCTATAGCTGTAGTATTATTTTGTTTCTTAGTTGTTTTACGCTTATTATTAGTTTTACTATGCTTTTCATTCAATTTAGGTTTTTTGAATTGCCTCGAAGGTTCCTTGTCCTCATCAATCATTTTCCTTTCCTTGGATTGTGGTTCTTTGGGTTTGGTGCTAACTAACCTAAAAATATTTATACTTAATTTTTTCAGTTGAAATTCGTCTATTTCGGTCTTGTTTGAACCTAAGAATACATTAGTACGTCCTGGATTATCATTTTGTTTTTTAGTATTGTTGAACTTCTTTTGAAACTTCTGGCAAGCACCATTACACGTAATCTGGATTAATTTCTTAACTTCATTTTCTGTAACCTTATACTTTTTCATTACGTATTCCATAATATCACCAATTATTTTAGGGTCTAACTTCTTCTTGTGCCTTGTTCCATAGATTGTAGAATGTGCCAAATCGTCTTTAGTAAAGAAATAGTTTAACAAGGCTCTTATGGCCATAGAACAAGGTCGATCACTCAATGGTTTTAGAATAAATTCGTCTATTTGGGTCTTGTTCGAGCCTAAGAATATATTGCCCTGTTCTTTAATATTTGATGTTTCCGCTATAGCTGTAGTATTATTTTGTTTCTTAGTTGTTTTACGCTTATTATTAGTTTTACTATGCTTTTCATTCAATTTAGGTTTTTTGAATTGCCTCGATTGTATGTTAAGTTCCTTGTCCTCATCAATCATTTTCCTTTTCTTGGATTGTGGTTCTTTGGGTTTGGTGCTTGGAAAGTTTTTCATTCTTATTGCCATTTCAAACCTTATTTTTTCTAGTTTACGTTCAGTAGTATCATTTTCAGATATAAAACTCACTTCCATGACATTTTTCGTTTTTCCATTAACCTCCAAATCATCTTCATTAATATTTATAATTTCCAATGGTGCAAATTGTTTTTCGCATTGGTTTTCCCAGTCATCTAGTAGTTTTTTTAACTCTGATATATTTTCTTCATTATTTCTATCTTTAAGAGGATAACAAAAATTATTGTCCAAAGATTTCTCCTGGTTTTCTACATGAATGCCTTGAAGGTTGTCTAAAATTCTTTTTTGGTTTGAAGTCATTGCAAATTGTTTTTCGCATTGGTTTTCCCAGTTATCCAGTAGATCTTTTAACTCTGATATATTTTCTTCATCATTTCTATCTTTAAGACGATAACAAAAATTATTGTCCAAAGATTTCTCCTGGTTTTCTTCATGAATGCCTTGGATAATGCATTGAAGGTCGTTCAAAATTATTTTTTGGTTTAAAGTCATTCTGGTACAACACTTTGTATAAATTAAAAAACAAGTATGATTAAAATGTAATTGACTTTTCGTTTTATATGTTATTGTTTTACCTGTACTTACTAAAGTATACCTATGGTAAAGGATTAAAATATTGTTTTTATTTTATGTTCTTAGTTTAGGTAATTTTTTACCTCAGTAACAGTTCAAAATTCTTTTTAAATATTTTATAGTATTTGCATTTATAAAGATTTCTCTTTACCCCAGGTTCGTTTAAAACAAGTTTTATGAAAAATTGATAAATTAAATATTTTGTGGCTTTGGCTCGTGATCGTCTTACCCAAATTTGGACCTTTACGCTGTGTTTACTTACTTGTTTTATTAAATGCATTGGGAGAACTGGGTATATAAGAAATAAAATACAGTGGCTTTAGTTTACCCCAATTTAATTTACGTTAACGTTTACAAACAAGCAAGTGGTGGCTCTTAGGAGGGTTCGGCCAGGAAAAAAGAGCCTGAGAAAAAACCCTGGTCGGCTATGAAGTAGAATACGCGGTCAGGCATTGTACTTTAAAAATTACGCAAATTAATGTATTGGCGATATGGTTCGATACTGCATTTAAACAAAGATTTAAAGCTGAAGAATATTGGTGTTAGTTAGCCGGGCTAGGCCCAGAATGTAACGGGGTCCACAAAAGGGAGGCAAGTTGAGAGGTCGGGGAAAAGCGATGCCGCCCTAGAAAACCTAGGACAACCTGTTCCCCTCACGGGAGAAAAATATTAGTTCATACAACAAAGGCCCACGCACACAAACAAAAAGTACTCAAAGTTGGACAATAACGGTCAGCACTCCTGTTTAAGCACCGAGTAATTTCGCAATACATAAATAAATTTATTTATTTAAATTATTTTAACTGGTCAATATTTAAGTTTCTTATTGGAAAAATTTTGAAAATATTTCTAAAGAAGCTACTGTGTTCAAAAAACACAGTGTGTTAGCGAAACAATTGTCAAAATAAAATTAAAATAAATTCGTGAAACTCAAAAAACATGGAGTTATTATTTAATTCAAAGTTTTGTGACGGTTGACGGTTGTTTATTTTATTGATAAATACATCGTCTATACTTTTTACAATATCGTTAATTAAAATAAAATTCAATAAATAATTAAGCATTATTATTTTATTTTTTAGTCGAATTCTTAAATTTCTTATAAGCATCTTTACACCTAACTATGATTACATTCATAACATTCTTCTCTGTAACCTCGTACTCTTTCATTACGTATTCCATAATGTCGCCAATTATTTTAGGGTCCAACTTTTTCTTGGTCATTCTTCCATCGATTGTAGAATGTGTCAAATCGTCTTCAGTAAATAAATGGTTTAACAAAGCCCTTGTTGCGATAGAATACGGTCGATCACTTAATGTTTTTAGAAGAAATTCGTCTATTTGAGTCTTGTTTGAACCTAAGAATGCATTAGCACTTTCCGGGTTTTTGTCACTATTAACATTTTGTTCCTTAGTAGCTTTTTTAGACTTCTGGTAAGTATTTTTAAACTTATTCCGCATTAATTGTTTAACTTCCTTCTCTGTAACCTCAAACTTATTCATTACATATTCAATAATATCGGCAATTATTTTAGGATCACACTTTTTTTGTGGAGAACTTTGGTAGAATTGACATCAATTGTAGAATGTGCCAAATCGTCTTCAGTAAAGAAATAATTTAATAAGGCTCTTTTAGTGACAGGACACGGTCGATCACTTAATTTTTTCAGTTGAAATTCGTCTATTTCGGTCTTGTTTGAACCTAAGAATACATTAGCACGTCCTGGATTATCATTTTGTTTTTTAGTATTGTTGAACTTCTTTTGAAACTTCTGGCAAACACCATTACACGTAATCTGGATTAATTTTTTAACTTCATTTTCTGTAACCTTATACTTTTTCATTACGTATTCCATAATATCACCAATTATTTTAGGGTCTAACTTCTTCTTGTGCCTTGTTCCATAGATTGTAGAATGTGCCAAATCGTCTTTAGTAAATAAATAGTTTAACAAGGCTCTTATGGCCATAGAACAAGGTCGATCACTCAATGGTTTTAGAATAAATTCGTCTATTTGGGTCTTGTTCGAGCCTAAGAATATATTGCCCTGTTCTGGATTGTTTGTATCTTTAATATTTGATTTTCCGCTATAGCTGTAGTATTATTTTGTTTCTTAGTTGTTTTACGCCTATTTTTAGTTTTACTATGCTTTTCATTCAATTTAGGTTTTTTGAATTGCCTCGAAGGTATGTTAAGTTCCTTGTCCTCATCAATCATTTTCCTTTTCTTGGATTGTGGTTCTTTGGGTTTGGTGCTTGGAAAGTTTTTCATTCTTATTGCCATTTCCAACCTTAATTTTTCTAGTTTACGTTCAGTAGTATCATTATCAGATATAAAACTCACTTCCAAATTTTTCGTTTTTTCATTAACGTCCGAATCATCTTCATTAATATTTATAATTTCCAATGGTGCAAATTGTTTTTCGCATTGGTTTTCCCAGTCATCTAGTAGATCTTTTAACTCTGATATATTTTCTTCATTAGTTCGATCTTTAAGACGATAACAAAAATTATTGTCTAAAGATTTCTCCTGGTTTCCTTCATGAATGCCTTGGATAATGCATTGAAGGTCAATCAAAATTCTTTTTTGGTTTGAAGTCATTGCAAATTGTTTTTCGCATTGGTTTTCCCAGTTATCCAGTAAATCTTTTAACTCTGATATATTTTCTTCATCATTTCTATCTTTAAGACGATAACAAAAATTATTGTCCAAAGATTTCTCCTGGTTTTCTTCATGAACGCCTTGAACTGAACATCACAGCGACAATATTTTTTATCACCTTGTTTACACGTTGCTAAGGATTTTGACACTTTTCTTGATTTGACATTTGTTGACATTTAAATACTGTGTTTGTTAAATGATTAAAATAATGAGTTATAAACACTAAAAGATCGATGGGTTGGTGTAAACGATAATTAAATTAAGGTAAGTTTGAATAAATAAGGTTTATTAAAGTCTTTTTATATTTTAAAGCACATTTTAATGTCAAACTGATAATTAGTTAAATCCTAAAATTCATTATATTTTCTTCTGCAGCTCGGTTTCAATTAGAAAATATCCTCGATGATAATCATACCACTTGTTATATTATGGGTGAATATAATGAAAATATAATCATCACTCAACTAACCTAAAAATATTTATACTTAATTTTTTCAGTTGAAATTCGTCTATTTCGGTCTTGTTTGAACCTAAGAATACATTAGTACGTCCTGGATTATCATTTTGTTTTTTAGTATTGTTCTTTTGAAACTTCTGGCAAGCACCATTACACGTAATCTGGATTAATTTCTTAACTTCATTTTCTGTAACCTTATACTTTTTCATTACGTATTCCATAATATCACCAATTATTTTAGGGTCTAACTTCTTCTTGTGCCTTGTTCCATAGATTGTAGAATGTGCCAAATCGTCTTTAGTAAAGAAATAGTTTAACAAGGCTCTTATGGCCATAGCACAAGGTCGATCACTCAATGGTTTTAGAATAAATTCCTCTATTTGGGTCTTGTTCGAGCCTAAGAATATATTGCCCTGTTCTGTAATATTTGATGTTTCCGCTATAGCTGTAGTATTATTTTGTTTCTTAGTTGTTTTACGCTTATTATTAGTTTTACTATGCTTTTCATTCAATTTAGGTTTTTTGAATTGCCTCGAAGGTATGTTAAGTTCCTTGTCCTCATCAATCATTTTCCTTTCCTTGGATTGTGGTTCTTTGGGTTTGGTGCTAACTAACCTAAAAATATTTATACTTAATTTTTTCAGTTGAAATTCGTCTATTTCGGTCTTGTTTGAACCTAAGAATACATTAGTACGTCCTGGATTATTATTTTGTTTTTTAGTATTGTTGAACTTCTTTTGAAACTTCTGGCAAGCACCATTACACGTAATCTGGATTAATTTCTTAACTTCATTTTCTGTAACCTTATACTTTTTTATTACGTATTCCATAATATCACCAATTATTTTAGGGTCTAACTTCTTCTTGTGCCTTGTTCCATAGATTGTAGAATGTGCCAAATCGTCTTTAGTAAAGAAATAGTTTAACAAGGCTCCTATGGCCATAGAACAAGGTCGATCACTCAATGGTTTTAGAATAAATTCGTCTATTTGGGTCTTGTTCGAGCCTAAGAATATATTGCCCTGTTCTTTAATATTTGATGTTTCCGCTATAGCTGTAGTATTATTTTGTTTCTTAGTTGTTTTACGCCTATTATTAGTTTTACTATGCTTTTTATTCAATTTAGGTTTTTTGAATTGCCTCGATTGTATGTTAAGTTCCTTGTCCTCATCAATCATTTTCCTTTTCTTGGATTGTGGTTCTTTGGGTTTGGTGCTTGGAAAGTTTTTCATTCTTATTGCCATTTCAAACCTTATTTTTTCTAGTTTACGTTCAGTAGTATCATTTTCAGATATAAAACTCACTTCCATGACATTTTTCGTTTTTCCATTAACCTCCAAATCATCTTCATTAATATTTATAATTTCCAATGGTGCAAATTGTTTTTCGCATTGGTTTTCCCAGTCATCTAGTAGTTTTTTTAACTCTGATATATTTTCTTCATTATTTCTATCTTTAAGAGGATAACAAAAATTATTGTACAAAGATTTCGCCTGGTTTTCTACATGAATGCCTTGAAGGTTGTCCAAAATTCTTTTTTGGTTTGAAGTCATTGCAAATTGTTTTTCGCATTGGTTTTCCCAGTTATCCAGTAGATCTTTTAACTCTAATATATTTTCTTCATTATTTCTATCTTTAAGACGATAACAAAAATTATTGTCCAAAGATTTCTCCTGGTTTTCTTCATGAATGCCTTGGATAATGCATTGAAGGTCGTTCAAAATTATTTTTTGGTTTAAAGTCATTCTGGTACAACACTTTGTATAAATTAAAAAATAAGTATGATTAAAATGTAATTAACTTATCGTTTTATATGTTATTATTTTACCTGTACTTACTAGTATACCTATTGTAAAGGATTAAAATATTGTTTTTATTTTATGTTCTTAGTTTAGGTAATTTTTTACCTCAGTAACAGTTCAAAATTCTTTTTAAATATTTTATAGTATTTGCATTTATAATGATTTCTCTTTACCCCAGGTTCGTTTAAAACAAGTTTTAAGAAAAATTGTTAAATTAAATATTTTGTGGCTTTGGCGCGTGATCGTCTTACCCAAATTTGGACCTCTACGCTGTGTTTACTTACTTGTTTTATTAAATGCACTGGGAGAACTGGGTATAAAAGAAATAAAATACAGTGGCTTTAGTTTACCCCAATTTAATTTACGTTTACAAACAAGCAAGTGGTGGCTCTTAGGAGGGTTCGGCCAGGAAAAAAGAGCCTGAGAAAAAACCCTGGTCGGCTATGAAGTAGAATACGCGGTCAGGCATTGTTCTTTAAAAATTACGCAAATTAATGTATTGGCGATATGGCTCGATACTGCATTTAAACAAAGATTTAAAACTGAAGAATATTGGTGTTAGTTAGCCGGGCTAGGCCCAAAATGTAACGGGGTCCACAAAAGGGAGGCAACCCGCCTATTTTAGTTGAGAGGTCGGGGAAAAGCGATGCAGCCCTAGAGAACCTAGGACAACCTGTTCCCCTCACGGGAGAATAATATTAGTTCATACAACAAAGGCCCACGCACACAAACAAAAAGTACTCAAAGTTGGACAATAACGATCAGGACTCCTGTTTAAGCACCGAGTAATTTCGCAATACATTAATAAATTTGGACTGACCATAAAACAATGCTTAACCACGTTATAGAAAAGGTACAAAATACAATGTTACATTTGAGCAGTACAAGCATTGAGCATAGCAAATTATTAAAATTATAGTGATAACAGTAAAAGCGAAAATAGGTGTGGTAATAGCTAAACAAAAAAGGTTAAAAAATTAACGTTAAATAGAGCTAAACGTAATAATGAAGGATAAATATACTCATAATAGCAATAATCATACAATAATAATATTAACAATTTAAAAATGCACAATATTACGTTTAGTTAATTTTACTACACATTTAGATAGATTAAATAGAATTAGAATAGATTAGAACTAACCTTGTAGGATACACTAACAACTAACAACACTTTTAACAATGATTTTAGAACAATAACTTGATTTTACAATTTTACCAAAGAAAACGATCTGTACCGGACCAAGTTCAAAATGCTTCTGCCTCATTTTTCCTTTCCAAAAACCCTCTTCGTTTACCTTTGGAGGAAATTCCTCGCCTAATCTGTCGACCACATGTACTTTTTCTCAAGCTCAGCGCATCCCTCTTTTGTTTGTTTGACAAATTTTCTACCTAAATTTGTAATTTTGCTGGCCTTAAAATAAAGTTTTATAACTTAATTCTATTTTAAAATTAAAAAAATAAATTATATTTAAAAAATGTATTCTAATAAATTTATGCAGGGGTATTTTTTTTCGGAACCATTACAATATGAACTGTTAAATAAAAAGTATTACTCTAAAAGTAACATAAACATAATTTTATTAAACTAAAACCGGCATTCGGACATCAAAGGTGCAAAACTAACTAAACAGTGTGCGAGAGGTGCAAAACCTAATCTACATTATTACGGTGCAAATGAATCTAGAGTGAAATTTAAATACCTTAACATTAAAGTGCTCGATTTCTGCAAATTATAAAAAAGTGTGTACTATAAAAGATATTTCAGTCTGAAGTTAACATACTAGCCACTCAAAATTAACAATTAAGTAAAATCACAGAAATTAAATTTTTTCGCATTCATTTTATAAATAGCTTATTACTGTTGTTTTTGGTTTCTTGGTCCCTCACGAGCTGCGGATTCCTAAAACGAGATAAAAAGGGGTAACTCACTGTTCTATTCTACAACTGGAAAACTATTAATTCTTAGGAGCTACCAAGTATTTTAAGTGTTAATTGAATTGTTACACTAGTATAACCCATGTAAATAGCTTCTAAACTAGTTTATTACTTGTTGGGCTTTGATTTCAGCGTAGATCAAGTCCAATCCCTTTTGCACTTTAGCGCTCACTGGTGGTGGGGTTGGCAAATGGTCACCAGTTGGGTGAAAGCCGGTTTCGTCGACGATGTAGTTTACGGTAATGATCTCACTTTTTGGAGCTGTGTAGCTGTAGGAACCTTGTTGGATTTGAGCGTTTATGTCTTCGTGTTCTTTGCAATCGGGGTTTGGTCCTAAGTTTTTGATTAGGACTACTTATTTAGCAGCTTGTCTTGCTGGCTGCTGGTATTGGTCTTGGCTGTTTTCGTATTATTGGGGTTTAGCCTGGGCCTGGACTGTCCTCCTTTGGGCGTAACAAAAGCCAATAAATAAATTGTATTATATCTAAAAAAATAAGTAATAAGTCTAATATTCAAAATAAGTGAAAACTAATAAAATATCAAAACAAACTAGACAAAAAATATACCATGTCGAATTTTGTAAACCTGTAATAAAGGGAAAAGAAAATGTACTTAACCTTTTAAAAAATTATGAACAAAAATCGACCAACTAAAACCTTCTTGAAAAAGAAAAAACAATTAGGTTGACGGTTGACGAAAAGACCTTGATAAAATTGGTGCAGATTTATAATAAATGGTGCATTTTTCGAATAAATGCGTGGTCTATATTTTCTACAAATACCCTCAAAATTTACAATTACGGGTAAGAAAAAACTTCAATCAATAACTAAATAATAAAATATTTTATTAAATAGAATTAAATTGTTTAAAATCTACCTAGACTATTTAAAGATTGTGCTAAATACATTACTAAATAAAGATTATTAATATTTTGGGTTCTTGATTTTAACAAATATACATATTTTTAAGACTTTTTTTAATTTCTTGTTAGCATCATTACACCTTATCTTGATTACTTACTTAACTTTTTTGCAACCTCATACTTTTTCATTACGTATTCCATAATATCACCAATTATTTTAGGGTCTAACTTCTTCTTGGGCATTTTTCCTTCGTTTGTAGAATGTCCCAAATCATCTTCAGTGAAGAAATAGTTCAATAACGCTCCTGTGGCCATAGAACGCGGTCTATCATTTAATGCTTTTAGAAGAAATTCGTCTATTTGAGTCTTGTTTGAACCTAAAAATACATTAGCATGTTCTGGATTTTTGTCCGTATTATCATTTTGTTTCTTGGAAGTATCTTTGAACTTCCTTTGAAACTATAACTACAACTTCTACACCTATAACTACAACTTCTAGCACCTAATCATAATAAATTTTTTAGCATCCCTTTCATTTTTTAAATAGTTTATTGCTGTTGGTTTTGTTGTCTACGGTTGTATTGGGCTTCTTGGTAGTCTTGGTTTCTTGGTCTCACTCACTTTAATACGATAAAGAAAATTATTGTCCAATATTCCTGGTTTTCTTCATGAATGCCTTGAATAATGTATTGAAGGTCGTTCAAAATTCTTTTTTGATACAACACTTAAAAGTATGATTAAAATGACTTATTGTTTTATATGTTATTGTTTTACCTGTACTTACTAAAGTATACCTATGGTAAAGGATTAAAATATTGTTTTTATTTTATGTTCTTAGTTTAGGTAATTTTGTACATAACTAAGTAACAGTTCAAAATTCTTTTTAAACGTTTTATAGTATTTGCATCTATATAGATAAGTTTTTAATTTAAATAATTTTTAATACAAATATTTTTAGTACTTATTCCAAGGGCTAGATAATGTAATCAACAAAAAACTATTTATTTAATAATTTTGTTTCCAATGCCCTTAATTTTATAAAATATTATAATAATTAATTTAAAATTATAGTTACATTTCCATTGTAAGCGTAAACACCCCCCCCCCCGTATAACAACACGGCAAATGTTATATTAAATTACGACAAATATATAAAATAAATACTTACGGTAATAAAGCTCATTAATTTAGTAACCCAAGGTACTTGTGAGGTGTTGTATTCATGGGGAAAGTATTAAAAGGGAAATATATAAATACAGTAAATAAAAGACAATAAATTACGCTTGAACTCAGGTCAAATACCCGGAAGGCTCCCTTTTATTTTTTTATATAAATATCGCTCATAAAACCTTCCAAAATGAGGGATTATGGGAGTAAGTTACACGTATAAAATATTTAAAATTTATAACAAACAATAATGATATTTATTTGGATAGAGCAACAAAAATAACCGCAACCCAAACGACATTTAACTTAATTTTCTAAAAGAAAGAGACATCCTACAAACCGTTAAAACCACACAATATCTCCTTACTGCGACCACAACCCAAATATAATATAAATAAATAAATATATAAATACCATCATACTAGAGCTTAGCTGTCGTATGTGTTCCTCGTTTTCATTTTTAATTTGTTTCTTTGTTTGTTTATTTGCTTGTTTGTTGGGTGAAAGTAGATTGAGTCTTAGTCTCCATTTTTGTATTTTAAATTTAACTTTATTCATCAAGCATTCCATCTGCATTAGGCCTCCATCATCCAAATAAAGTTTTTATAATTATTTACTGTTGAATTTAAGTTTACTGTTACATAATTTTCTTATGTAATATTTATTAGAGTTCAGGCTCAATGAACTGTTAGAAAAAGGAGTAAATAAATTAGGCTCGAGATCGCTTTAACTGAGGGTTCTAAATTGTCTATTATGCCTCATTTGTCGGCAAACTTTAATAAATTAATAATTACCATAAAATACTAGGTAATCAAAATGACACAAATAACAAAAACAATGTCTGCGTCGCGCAGTCAGATGAAATCAGACCGGCCGGCACCTAATAAAATTTACAGGATAGTAATTCAAAATGGTCTTGTTGTATCAGGAATCCACGGACAGTGGATAAATCAAATGTCGCTATCGTACAATCACTGTTGCTACTCACCCCAAATGTAATACCAAATAATTTAATATGACTGGTAAAAATCACTTAACTAATTACGGGACATAAATATGAATCTACGAGTACAATTTAATAAATCCCGTATTCAAGAAAATCGATATTAAATACACTTAATATACACAGCGTTTATGTTAAATCCCCTTTTTGAAATATTTATTTAAAATACTTAAATAATCTTAAGTACAATCCTGACATTTAGCTAGATTAAATCGAATACGGCCCTGTCCATTTTAATTAAATTAAATCCGTACAACCTTGCTCTTTTAATTAGATTAAATCAAGTACCAATTGTTTATAACTTAAAATCTAAATTATAATATGAAATACTTAGTTCAAAAGTAAATTGATTTCATGTCGATTACTACGGGCGTGGTTTATTATAACGGCAGCCATCATGGCGGAATCGTTCGATCTATGACGCCAAGTCAAATAATCGAATATTTATCTTTACACAAGGTATTTGTTTAAACCAATTATACCAAAATGTTCGAGAATATTTGTACTACAATAATATAGTTATTTAAAATGTACAATTTGCAGATCTCCTCACTATATTAGAGTCAAACTCTCCATATCTATGGTCAAATATATCTACGGAAGGAAACTTTAACCCTATATTATAGGGCCTATTATCAGCATCAGTAAACATACTTCATATTGAAAATTATAATTGACAACATTTTTACATAGTTTCTATTAAAATTTCTTAAAATTTTTCACAATATTTTATGTCTTTTTTGTCGGGCTTCTTTGTCGTCCTACAAAAGAGTAGCAGATGGCGCCAGTTAAAATGCAACTCATATCGGTAGTTTGTAAAAGAAAGTACTTGATTTTTGATAAATAGCTGGACAATCTCAAAAAGGAGGCATATTTTAAAATTTGTCTTTCCTGTTAGTTCTGAAATTATATTATTAGTATGTTATAGAAAATTTTGTTGTTTTTAAATAGTAAATTTATAGCCTGAAAATATTTTTAATATTTGACTGAATTTGTATACCTTTAAAAAATTTTTCACAAAATTAAGAACGAATAAAGGGAAAAATGTATTATTATTTTGCCGGTTTTCCATATATATATTAGACCAATCAATTTTATGCCTAGTTTAAAAAAATATAGGGTTTAAAATAATCTATAAGAAGTTTTGCAAGCCGCTGAGTCACCAAAATATTCCAAAGTAGGTAGTATAATATTTATATGTCCTGCAACTTTTATTTTATTTTTGTATGTTATTTATTTATATTTCTTATATTTCTTTTTATATAACCTTCATAAAAAAAACATGTAAACAAATTTACAAAGAATATCTGACACCAAAAAGGCTTTTTATTTGATATATGAACCAGGGTAGTCAACTTAACCATTTTTCTTGTGTGAAAAGGAATATCATAAATAGTTTTATTGTATAAATTGAAAGCAAACTTTACAAAGTGTTTATAAAAATAGTGGAAAAATTTTATATTAAATTAATTTAATGAAATTGAACAGATAATTGGGGTGCTTGGTACAATAATTTGTAGGAAATCAATAAAAACTTCCAGTTTTGTGTTGAAACAAATTGGCAATTAAGTAATGGTGGAAATAATTAATATCGAATAGAAAAATTAATATTTTTTATTAGTCTATAGACATATTAGACATATTTTTTAAAGTCTTGGAGGTGACTGCACTGCAGCTGTAAAAAGTACACAAATAACGCAATATTATTTCGTAAAACATTTTTTTATCATGATATATAAAATAACTTTATTTTAAAGAACAGGTTTCACAAAATAAAAAATACTGTGGTATAAATATAAAAAAATAATTATAATTAAGAATAATTTATTCTATATGATACATTGAAAAAAAGAATTGACCTGGTTTTGCACCGATCCCTTCAATTTATAGCAAATTTGGATGGCTAAATTTGTTGATTTACCATTTTAACCATTTAATTTTGCAAATTTGATCAAAAATATTGTAAAATAATTTTTACCTAATTTCTAAAAAATGTTAAAATTACGCATTTAAAGATTTTTTTACTTATTTCAGGATTTCTTTTCTTTTATAAAATATTTATTTTAATATATGGAAGCACATTTTTGAGATAAATGAAGAAAATCGTGTTAATAAGAATAAGTGTTAGTGATTTACTGAGGGTATATAAAAAGATATAATTTATACATTACATGTAATGCCTAGAATTTCTTTTGTGTCGAAAATCTTTTGCGTGTCAGCGGTATTCTAAAATAATAATAGGCCTTTGAAAACGTGATGTGTTAAAAAAAGTCCTCGTTATTTTTAATAAATTTAGTTTTTCAAACCTTCCAAGTTTTTATAGTGTTTAAAAGTACAGAAAAATTATGATTTACATGCAAAATTCCATCCAAATATATTTCATACAAATATATTTAAATGTGCTATAGTCTGAAAAACCAATTTTATATACAGGGTGTTTTAAAAATTTCCGACCATCGCCCGTGTGGTAATGATTGAATGTTTGTGTTGCATTTTTCCCGTTTTAGCAACGTAATTTCTAATTTGGCTTATGAGAACGGTAGTTATGCTCATACAAGAAGGACTTTGTTAATAAAAATCACAAAATTTGCGCGGTAGGGCAGAAAAACCAGTAATTAATTATGCCATTCAAAAAATAAATTTGGCGACATGGGAAAATAACAAAGTTGTACCTAGGTATGGTTGATTAGATACTGAATGAAGTTGTCAGTGTTGCTTTTTAAAGCTTTTCGACTTCAAAATTTATTCGTTGCGTCAGGCAACTTGCCTGAATATTGAAAGTTTGAGGTCTTGGAAGATTTTTGTTTGCAATTTTACACATGGACATGCCCTCTATTACCACCCAGGCCATGGTCTGACATTTTTGGGTAACCCT